TGACACTGTCTAACCATCTCATCCTTTGCCGTCCCCGTCTTCTTTGACCTTCAATCTTTCCCAGCATCAGGGTCTTCTCCAGTGAGTGCTCCCTTCTCATTTGGTGGCCAAAGTATTTGAGCTTCAGTTTCATTATCTGGCCTTCCAGGGAACAGTCAGGGTTGATTTCTTTGAGGATTGACTGATTTGTTCTTCTTGCAGTCCAAGGGACTCTCAAGAGTCTTCTCCAGCACCATAGTTCAAAAGAATCTATTCTTCTGCGCTCGGCCTTCCTTATAGTCCAACTCTCGCAGCCATACATGACTACTGGGAATACCATTGCTTTGACCATGCGGACTTTTGTTGGCAGGGTGATGTCTCTACTTTTTATCATGCTGTTTAGGTTCGCCATCGCTTTCCTCCCAAGGAGCAGGCGTCTTTTAATTTCATGGCTGCAGTCACAGTCTGCGGTGATCTGGGATCCCAGGAACGTGAAGTCTGTCACTACTTCCACAGCTTCCCCTTCTATTTGCCAAGGAGTGATGGGGCCGGATGCCATGATCTTAGTTTTTTTGATGTTGAGCTTCAAGCCCACTTTTGCGCTCTCCTCTTTTACTCTGAGCAAGAGGCTCTTAAGGTCCTCTTCACTTTCTCCAGAGAGAAAGTTTGGATACTGGGAGGTCTGTCTTTTGGGTTTGGCCTCTTCACTTTCTGCCATTAGAGTGGTATCGTCTGCATATCTGAGGTTGTTGATCTTTTCCCCCGCAATCTTAATTCCTGCTTGTGATTCATCTAGGCCAGCATTTCGCATGATGTACTCTGCATATATATTAAATAAGCAAGGTGACAATATACATCCTTGTCGTACTCCTTTTCCTATGCTAAACCAATCAGTTGTTCCATATCCGGTTCTAACTGTTGCTTCTTGGCCCTTATACAGGTTTCTCAAGAGACATGTGAGGTGGTCTGGTACTCCCATCTCTTTAAGGACCTGCCATAGTTTGTTGTGATCCACACAGTCAAAGGCTTTAGCATAGTCAATGAAGCAGAAGTAGATGTTTTTTCTGGTACTCTCTTGCTTTCTCCATAATCCAGCGAATGTTGGCAATTTGATCTCTAGTTCCTCTACCTCTTCGAAACCCAGCTTGTACTTCTGGCAGTTCTCTATCCACGTACTGCTGAAGCCTAGCTTGTAGGATCTTGAGCATGACCTTGCTAGCGTGTGATATGAGTGCAATTGTGCGATTTCATTCCACTGATTTATATATTGATTTATACATTGATTTAAATCCAGTTATTTAACACGATTACAAATCCCACACTGCTGAACATAAATGCTAAACGAGTGCCTTCAGTCATAGATTGGACTGGCTACTTAACCTGATTTGAAGTAAACAATATGGAAGAATGAATGGTCTTATTCCTGACCATTTCATACTAGTAGAGGTTATCTCTGAGTTGCTTGGTAAACTTTTACAAACACTTTAATAAACACTCCAGCCTTCTCTTCCTGGTACTTTTAAAGTCACTGACTTGTTTACCTGATTAGTAAGTACTGTTGCAATTGTATATATGGCAGGCAGAGTGATTGCTTAATTGGAAGATTAGGTGACCTGTTGGAAGGGATTGCTTATAAGTATCTGAATCAAGTCTGTCATAGTCTAGATAGTTCTGGCAGAATTTTTTGCCTCCCCTAGTGTAAGTAATAAAACCATACCATAGACACTGTTTTACAAAGTCTTATGATGAAATGCATCATTTTTCATGAGCTTGCCAGTCTCCTGACAGTTTTGTTTTTTTGTGAACTCTGAAAGCCCCTTTTTTTTTTGCCTCTTCGTGCTTTAATTTACCCATTGTGCAGACATCTATCAAATGGGCCATCAGTAGCAGTACACATGCAGTAGTACATCCAAGTTAAAATTCTTGCTTTGATTACTACAAATCCGTGGAGCCCTTGGGTCCAGAGCTTCTACTGCAGCACAGCTATTTGCAAATAGATTTTTATAGCACATTAGAGCTGGAGGAGAGTCCAAAGAAAATAGTCTTTTTCAATATTAGAACCAGCTGTGACTTTCTTGTGTGGATGACTCATTCATATTTTTTATGGGGTGGGAGAACCAGGCAAAGGACACACAGAGTCTTATTCAAGATGTTGTTTGTTTTTGCAAAGGGTATCCTAGCCACAAGCCAACTTGATCATACCAATGTGCAACTCTGTGTTTATTCAAAGCACTTTTCTATTTTTTATTCTTTCGACAGTTCCAATTATAAAAACAGAACCCACTGACGACTATGAGCCTGCTCAAACCTGTGGACCAAGGAACCAAGGACTAAGCCCTCTCTCCAAGCCATACTACAGCCAGCAGATCATGATGCCTCCTGATCCTGGCTCGTGCCTTGTGGCTGGCTTCACTTCCTGTCAGCCGAGAAACACTGTGATGTCATCGTCTCCCAGCTCAAGTCCTAAGCTGCATGATCTTTCCACTCCTGCTTACAAGTGCATCACCAACCCAGGCCACAGCCACCTAGGACTTCAGCAGACCGTTGGAGGGGTCCCCACCATACAGGAAGTGTCAAGGTCTATAGTTGTGCACCCAAGCTCTCCAGATCAGGCATCTCACATCATGCTGCAGCCGCAGGTGAGTCAACATCTGAGCAGTAGCTGTACCCTTGGTTACCAACAAACACTCTATCCCAACAGTCCCTCATCTCCAGTTCCATCTGTAACCCAAGAGCCAACCTTTTTGCAGTCCTGCAGTCCAACTCACTCATCCATAATGGGTCAGCAGCAACTGCCGAATGTTCAAAGAAATGAATCTCCAGCAGAGCAGCCACTGTCGTTGCCCGAGTTGCATGAGGACAGTAATCATAATTTGGCCCCTATTCCTGTAACGATCAAGTGTGAACCTGAGGAATTGGACCAGTTATACCTGGATGATGGTAAGTCTTCTGCAGATGTAGAGGTTTGTGTTCAGCCATTTTGATGTGCCACTGAGTTCTTTTAAACTCCATAAGCATTGGTGGGGAAGACTGCCAATTAACAGCCTTGCAGATTGGAGCAGGATTTTGCTTGGGTGAACCTCAGTATGGAAAAGATTTCTTTAATATCATCAGCAGTAATGAAAATATATGATTCGAATTTTAAATGCTGATAGTCATTGCTGAATTATCTGCATGTCCAATAGCTACAGTGCAGTAATCTTAACCATATGGTATTGGCCTGTGCCTATGGCAGTGGCTTGCAGAATGGCACTGAAACCCCATTTTGAATTGTCCCATTGTCCGTGTTATGTTACATCTTGAAATAAACAAGCCTGCTATATGGAACTAAATGACGAAACTGCTCTATTTCAGCTAAAATTTTAAATCAAAACCTAAACCATGATCTTCACTTGTTGGCATTTGAAGTTCAGGCTTGCTTCCCTTCCACACCTTCACCTCCCTTACTTTCTAGTAAATTTGTAGTTGGCCTTTTATTAGTGTGTGTGTGTGTGTGTGTATACACACACACCACTGTAATGTGAAAATACTCCGAAGAGTGTGTCAAATTTCCAAAGATTTATTTGTTCAGTGTAATAAAGGGTAGGACCTAAAATGTGGTTATATTACCTTATATTATTTGATGCCTAAAACCATGGTAGCTATTACGAATTTATGCCGTCATGAGGCCCCTTTCAATAACTGCAAAATCTCATAAATTGCATTGCAGTAGTTGACACAGGTATTTTGCCTTTGAACATATCTTGTTTCAGTAAAAATATGCAAGTGACAATCAGCTAAGGGGAAAATGATTCCCAAAGGCAGTTTATTGTAAATGTTTTTTAAAACTCGTGAAATATTTTATTCCATTTTAATCAGCAAGGCTCCATCTGAATTAATATTTCAAATGTTAGTATTTGAAAGCTTGAATAAGCGATATTAAGTTATATGGCTATTAGGTTTTTTTTTAAAAAACCAGGATTTTTTGGGTTCAGGTATATTGAACCCAAAAAATATCAGTATTTCACGATATTCCCGAATCCCAGTACCAGTATGAGATTTGGATTTGGTAAATATTTGTGATTCCTGAATTTTTTCAGGTCCAATGTACCCAAGAAGAAAAAAACCCAAGAGGATCAGCCAAGGCGAGCATGAAGTTATCAGCTCCTGCTGCCCCTTGCGATCCTGGGCTGGCTCTTCTTTGCAGCTCAGTTTAAACTGAGCTGCGAAGAGGAGTCAGCCAGCCCAAGCCGAGGTGGCATGGATCTGTCAGCTAAGCTCCTGCAAAGGAGCCAATCCTGCAGGGATAACTCTCCCCTCAGCTTGGCTGGGGCCTTCTTGGGCAGTCCCTTTAAACCGGATTGCCCAAAAGAGCCTGTGAAGCAGCTGATCCTGGGGGAAGAACTCTCCCTGCAGGCTTGGCTGGGGCTCTGCTGGGCAGGCCACCACCAGAAAGGAGGGAGGGAGGGCAGATCTCAGATCTCCCCCCCCCCATTCTGCTGGCCTCCAGGAGTTGCTGCCAGCAGAAAGGAGGGAGGGAAGATCTCAGATCTTCCCCCTTTCCTTTCTGCTGGCCTTGGGGAGAGTTCTGTCAACTGTATCAGCTCCTTTGCAGGCTGTGTTCGGCAGTCCTGTTTCAACTGTGCAGCCCAGCAGAGTCTGCGGGGAGAGTTCTCCCTGCAGGATCAGTTCACTCACACAGCAAGGCTTGCAAAAGGCATTTAAAGGAAATGTGTTCCCTTTAAATGCCTTTTGCAAGCTGCACCACAGATCAGCTGGCGCTGGCTTGATATAACTGAGTACACCCAGAAAAAGACAGAAAAACCCCGGCTTTTATTGGGCTCAGCTATACTGGTAGCCGAGTACAGATCTCTGATCTGTATTTGGCTTAAGTAATACCCAAAAAATACCGATAAGGTTTTTTGAGCATTTTTTCTGTTTGGTTTTGCCAAACACACACCCCTAGTGGCTATATGGTTTTATAGACACCCTACTCAGATGTGTTACTGGTCTGGAAAGATCTGCCCACAAATTAGGAGTATAACATTGCTCAACATGGTATACAACTGGTAACAAACCGTTTTTGTATTAATGAGATATTTATTTGGATATCCTATAGTATATAAAAAAGGAATTGCATACTGGCATATTAATTAAAAAAGATACCCAAGAACCACCTTGTGTTACATTTACTTCAAGAACTGATATGTGTATGTCAAAGTATATGACTTGTACAACCATTGCTTCCCACTCAGTTCTCTGTTGAGGCATGGCTGGCTTTAGAGTAGATCGTTTTTCATTGGAGCAGAATGACATCCTTCTTGCTCATTTTTAAGTGGCTTGCAGAAATAGAGTTTAAAAGCAGTAAAATATCACCTCTAGAATATTTCACTCTGAATTTAGACATTTTAATGGTATTTTACCGAATTACATCTAAAGGAGCCAATCCTACATGTTGGAGAACTATACACAAACATCTGCTTATCATTATAGACACTGCCTGTCCTGTCTAAGACATTATAGTTTGGAGGGCTTGTCTCAACCAGTAGAATATTCCCTTGCTACTACCACACTTGTTTTTTAAGCTTAGTTATTTTTGGCCATTCCCAGAAAATTGCCTTTCTTTATTTCCCTTTCTGTGGCTGCTTTCAGACATCACAAGAAACTGTGCTTTGTAGATTATGAATGTAAATGGTTCAATAAACTGGGGTTTGTTGCTTAGCACTAAACCAGGAATTCAAGCTGGGGTTTACAACTGGTTTGTTAACCTAATATGAACTAACTGTGACTGGTTTTGTTGTGTGAATTTACAAGCTACAGTTTGTGGTGTGGCACACCCTTCATGGACACCTGGTCACAGTGATGGTAGTCTAGGAAGGATGTCCTTCCTACTAGGTGGTAGAAGGTGGCAAGAAGCCGACAAACCATGATTTATGCACAAACTATGATTTGTTAGTTATGTTCGATAGACAAACTAGAATTTGTTGCACAAACCGAAGTTTAAACAACCCATGATTTGTTGTGGAATCTGAATATATTCTGTCCGTGTCACATACAGCTTACACAAAACCTCTAAACCAATTTTGCAAAACAGAATTGGTCATTCTACTGCAAAAGAGCTGTTGCATAGGTCATTAATCTTATTAATGATTGGGCTGTATATTTTGATTCCTGCAGCACAGCACTACTCAGTTGTGGAGTTATTTCCTACCATTAAAAACATCAAAGAAATTAGGTGGAGTTATCAATGAATGTTATCTCCATAAGCAGCAAGGGAACACATCAGCACGAACAGGAAGAGACTCTTGGAAAAGTAACTGACGATCCAGCTTTTCAACACAGTTTAAATAGATATTATTAGACACTGTTTCATTGCACATGCTGATAACAAATAGGTATAAAGGGGGGGAAACAAAACAAAGACATTTTTAGTTATGCTTATAAGCATCTAAAAACTTCTGGAGTTTTGACTAGCAGTCTGTTGTTGTTTTGTGTCACCTGAATTTTGGTTCTTAATTCCGGTGCGCAATATCAGTAAGATGCCATACCATCTAAGGAGTTATCCTAAATACACTTTTTTGGGGTAAAAGACCTAGTATTCTGTTGAAAGCATTGGGATTAGTACACATATGTAGAATGCTTGTGCTAGTCACTTAAGGAAACTGGGTTCTGTTTTCAATACATGATTTTAGTAGAATTTATTTCAAAGTTAACCTGCTGAGAATCCCTGTCTTTACAATAGTTCAAACATCCGCAATACATCCTGTTGTTATTAAGGATGCTTTTGGATTGTGAATGTGTGACATGGGTGTGGATACGGTTACAGCCAGGGGTCTTTTCGCCCCGGAGCCCTCCGGAGCGCCGCTCCGGCAGCCTGCGTGGCGGCAAGCCCCGCCCCTGGGTCCCTGAGCCCCGCCCCCGGGTCCCCCAAGCCGCGCAGGAGCACTGCGGCTCGGGGGAGGCCGGGAGAGCCCCGTCCCTGGGTCCCTCGAAGCCGCGAGAGAGCGCTGCAGCTCGGGGGAGGCCTGGAGAGCCCCGGGGCC